GACCCAGACCCAGACCCCCAATTCCGGATCCCAGATCCCCACTTCAGCACAGATAAAGGCACGAAAAGAAAGGCGGCTGCGTCTGGGAAAACTTCTTGAGAAAGTTTCACTTTAACTTGAACAATTGACTTTTTTCCGAGGGCTTCTCGTGAGGAGTGTTGTTCCTGGACCCACGCCCGAAACACTTGACTTGCGGCCACAGCCAACCGGTTGCTCCAACATCCCCGGTTACCCCTTCTTAAGTTGCACGGAGAAAAACTAAGTGGATTCACTAGCAATGTTTGCATACAATTGGGCAACTTTAAGTCTTTATTTGAAATGGCTTGACAAAGGAAATAAACAGTTTATATTATTGCTAACTCTAACGTATTTGAATTCTGGTTTCTGACATCAAAAAGGAAAACCTAAAACCCTTTTTCGCTGTGCAGAGATCTCATCCATCTATCTATACTTTGGCTGGCCCTGACAATTGGAACGTGGCTGAATCTTGGTATTGAAATGCTTGCAGCCAAGTTATTGTTATTGTTATGCGAATTGCTGCCACCGCTGGTGGGCTTGTTGGGTGGGTGAATTGGGGGGTGGTGGTGCCAGTTGGTAGGGGTGGTGCTGCTGGCAAATCGACGTCTTCGCCACTGAAGTGAAGCGATTGTTGGCCCGTGCTCATGAAACTGTAAGCGAAAAGTTTGCTTTACTTTTGTGTCACGCTCTGTTGCTTCCCGCGCCCCAAAGAACGAGAAGTCAAATTGAAAATGTTCTCATAATTTCTGGCCGTAAAAGATTTCAATCGTGAATCGCGAAAACTTTGCGCCGCCAGTTCGAGTTTACTTTTTACTGATTTTACAATTGATTTTAATACACACTCACACCGAGGACCTTAAAAAGTTGTTGAAATCCTGTCGATTCAATCGTGCAGCTAATTGAAATTTTTGCTAATTAAATTGTTTGGCAAAATGAGTATTAATTTTTGGTTTATTCATTTCCAGCTCTTCTTTGATTACCATAATGGAAGCAAAGTCGTAAATGTACAAAACAAAAGCTGACATTTCCACTTAATCTACCGGAATCATATCGGTCATGCGGTCAAATGTGACAGCGCAAAAACAAAAGGCGACCCTGAAAACGAGACCCTAATAAAGCCGTGTTGCAGACTGTCAAGCTGTGATTTCCATCTAAATCTCGGGGACAGAATTCCAACTCAGCCATCTCTGAACCCAAAGAAAAAATTGTAATACCTTTTGGACATTTTCTTTTCCTTTTTCATTAGACTTAATGAATAAGTTATCAAACTTTATTGGATGCAATGTAAATTAAATCCGTTTTTAAATTTTTGACATACTTTTATATAAATTAATTAACTCTTAACCATTAACAATTAAAGAAGGATATTTAACAGCTTTATAAGTTTTGAAACAACAGATTAAATATAGAATTTTTGATTATATAATATATCTTATTTAAACCTTTTGAAGAGTTAAATATTATTCCGTGTGTGTGCCGAATCCCAGTGAAAAGCCCTCAAAGATGCAATGTCGCGACATTTGTCGTTAAACTCCTGGAAAATGCTCTGATTAGCCACAATTCCGGCTGGCAATTCGAGTGCCTGACAATGTGTGCAGGCGTGCGACGGCAATCCTGGCCAAAACGTTCAACCGCTGATGAGCTCGGATTTCGAAACAATAACACAGTGAGAGATTTTCGGGGATTTATGAATGTTTTCCGTCTGACGAGCCTTTTGTTTTGCCGCTTTTCCCCGGAGTTTGGCGTGTCTTTCGATTTGTTTGCCCACAGTTTGTTGTTTCTTTTGCATGCAGACAATCAAACGGCCGTCGTTACTCATACGCCATGCTGGCCGCTCGTTAGCTGGTTGCTCGGATTGTCTGCTCTGCCCGCTGTTGTTGTACAAGTCTGGGCGGGATCTGGGCTTGCCACCCGCCTGCCTGTAACAATATTTATTCTTGTTAATTAAATTGTGTGAATATCACAATTTTCCATATGACTGCGCACATTTATTGTCTTTCAATTTGCGCCTGTGGTTTTAGTTGGCGTTCGAATACCCCGTTTTTGTTGGGGGATATGTTGGTTTTAAAATGGGACAATTTAGCTAAAAATATTTTTAGTTATTTGCTCCTTACCAATATATTGCTAAAATTAAACCTCCATAATTTTTAGTTGAGTAAAAGAGAGGTTATTAAATGATAATGTTGTGGAAAATGATATATACAATTTATAGAATTACTTTCCATATTCTCACAGTGAATTTTAAATTTAGTGAACAGGGTATTTAAAGGCTCGACTTTCCCCTTGCCAATAGTCAAAGTTTCCGCCGTGGTTTACCTAACCATTGCTCGGTTATGATTTGGTTTACCCACGAGCACGGGCTTTCATTAGAGCGGGTTCCGCCTGGCCAAAGACTGCGGCCGTGGTCGTTGCCGTATGATTTCCCTCGCTCGGCTTTTATGACTGTAATCCGGCGAACGGCGATCCTGCAACGCATGCAGAAATAAGCAATAATAATCTGTGTTCAATTTTCACTCGCCTTGGCCGCAAATTGCACGCAAGTGACGACTGCGGACCGGAAACGAAGTGCTACCCGGACTGGAGACCGTTTGCCACCACGTTTCCGCAGCTGACAAAATAATTTGAAAGCAATTTCCAGCCCCGGAGGAAGAAAAAATGTTGGAGAACATTTCGAAAAGGGAAAAAATTGTCAAATTCGCACTTTACCGGCAAGCAAATTTTCGGGCTCACTGCAATAATATTTCAATATGTAATTTGGTAGATTCGAATTTTCGTGGCCAACTGCAGTCCCTGAGTCTCGGTCCTCCGACAGCGATAATTTCCCACAAGAATGCAGCATTAACACGAGACGCAGATGGCCGAAGGGCCAAGGAGTGGATTAGATCGGAGTGCTTGGGATTCGGATTGGGATTGGGATTGGGAAGGGCTATGCCGGGGTATACACTCGACTTGTGTGTTTGTCATATTTGCATGCGCAACTAAAAAGGTTTCTGGCTGCTGGCAAATTGATCCCAGCTCACTGGCTTATGAAGGACACGGACTGTACTATTGTCTGGGTTTTTAGGATGTAGGTGCGGGCGGGAGTAGGGCGGATAATAAACGTTGCTGCAGGAGCGAAAGAAACTGGGAATTGGAGCTCTAGCTGGAGCAGCCAGCCGAGCAACGCAAAAAGCCAACTCTCAAAGGACCTGTGACAGGATAATGCATGCTTGCATTTTAGATGACAATAATGCATTTTTGTTTTAAGGGTAATTTTGCAGAATGTTTTTGCTGGCACAGTCGCTGGGGGATTTCATTATGCGCAAAAATATATAAAGAAGTTTTGTGTTTACTCCTTGCGATTTGCAGATGTCTCTTCTACAACTTTGGCCAAGCGTGGCCATCAAACGGCGAACATAAACAACTCGTGTTTCGCACAACTATTTAAAATCGTATTAAACTCGCCGAGAGTGAAAAGTACTTCAAACTTTTGCAGCCAATTAAATTCGCGAATATATTCTTTATGCAGCTTACATATTTTATGGCACAATAATTTTTCAATTAGAGCAACAACCATTTTGTCTTCTGCTCGAAACAATAAATGAAATATCGGGGACCTAAATTAACAGACATTTAACGCAGGAGTCAGAGAGTGGTGATGCTTTTAAGTATCTGTAAATTATGCCAATGACAGCACATTGACTTTATTATGGTTAGCAAGAAAAGTGTAGAGGGATGCAGAGAATTTTATTCTTTAAATGTAGCATTCTAAATGTAATGGTTTATTGTTCTGAAACTTAACTTTTAATCTTGTCCTAAAATCAAATTTTTATAATATATTCAACGAAGTAAGAATACAATTTTTTAGCTCTGAATGCCAATAAATTTAAAATGGTATAGCGAATTTAAAAGAGTACTTTCGCAACATATCATAAGAGGTTATAAAAAGAGAAAATAAATTATAATATAAGTTATCCTCGAATTAATAGGTCAGGTTCTCAGTTGCAAAAATAAGTCATTCCATTTTTCTGTACATCCTTTTTTGGCTACGATACATATGGCCAAAATCTAGAAAAAATTAACTCGAGTTTCGTTTTTTAAATGCAAAATTTTTGTTGAGGATAGTTAATACTAAAAATATTTATAATATGGGCATTAACCATTTTCTGACTGTGCTGAAGAGCCTTTAAAAGCAATCCTCACGGAATATTCAAGGCATTCTCCAGGTCGTACATCATGCAGCCAGACTTTAGTAAAAGCCACTTTAAAGCCTTCCCCTTGGCAGTTAATCGATTTGCCGTTCGGTCTGCATTATGCTGCTGTGCGGAGGGATTAAGTGAAAAAGTCTATAAAAATACATCGTGGGTGGGCCGTGTCTGATGTGCGTTTCCGCCGGACCTGGTGACGCTCGGCAGCTGGTGTGTCTGGAATCCTGCTAATCCTCGACAGGCACGTCCTCGTGCTCAACGGAAATCGCCATTCAAAAATTACAGGGGTGGCCCCCGTAATGCTCACATGCTTTGTTTACTTTTCATTTCCTTGAAGCAGATGCCACATGCTCCGCCTCCCGGTCGATGGATGATGAGCAAATAAACTCGGGGAATCCCCGGCCATCTCCCTTTGGGGTCGCATTTTTTCCATCACTGGCGGACTAATTTGCAAGACAATTAGAAGGTCCCTGGCCGACCCAGACGACGTCCGCTAATGAAAGCGCGCGATAAGAAAACTTAACAAATGTCAAATGGCCAAAAAGGAGCGGTGGAGATTGCAATGCCGCCGGGCCACGCTGTCTGCGCTGAAAAGTAAAGTAAATGTTTACTTTGGAAATCTGAAATTTGCATAATTTGCCAAGAAGATGGAAAAGTCAGGGAGGAGTCTGTCTGCCACCGATAAACGGGGAGTATTATTCATGGGTTTGTCAAGAGGATGGATGACAAAGTTTCGGGGCGACATCCGATAATGTCATATGTGTCCTGTGTGCCCAGCGATAGATAGTGTCAGGGATGTGTCAAACTGGACGCCGGTTTGACCAGGATGCCGGTGAGCAGGTGTCAAAAGCCGAGTCCTGTCAGCTGATTCGGGCCAGGCTCAACAGGATGCCACTTGCTCATTCCCGAAGTCAAAATCCTAGTTGTATCGCAGTTATTGCAGCCGAGAGCGAGCCGAGGAAAATTGCGATACAAGGAGCAGCAACTTTCGCTCTCGGCGAGCGACTCTTCGTGACTTGTATCGTATTTATGCCGCCAGCCGCCTGTTGTTGTATAGAATTTCCCACCAAACAACTCGTAAACAAAGCGCAGAGGCGTCGATTCTCCTGGGGTTTTATTCCGGAAATGATCTTCCGCGAAAAACTATCGGGAAATAAGTCCGCCATTTTGCCTTTCCTGCGGAAAAGTTCAGCTCTTTTGCGACTATGTATTAAGGTTCGACGGCACCTCCCCTTTCAATATATAAAGCTTTGTGGATTTTACATGGCCAGCATTCAGACTCCGCCTCTGTGCCGTACATGCATTTCCACTGGGCTGCCGGATGCACTGGTGTTGGTGAGTATCCTTGCAGCTTGCAGAGAGCTGAGAGAGCGCACGAAATGTAGCCCTGCTCTTCGGTGGTGGATGGAGCCAAAGGACTTCAACGAACTCGGCAAATGCGCTACATCTAGTCAAAGATGGTTATCTTAAGGGCTTTAGAAGAAATCATAGGGTATTTAAAATTGATTTAAAAATTGTTCAAGAAACATTAAAATAAAAATTTAAAATGGTTCTTGAAAGATCTTTTGGATGTAAATACATTTAAACAAAACATCTTTTCTTGGCTTTTATTTAAGATCCCATTAGCATTGGTTTTTGGACTAGTATTTTGAAAAATATATATTCATTCATTTCTTTAATTGTATTTTAATAGTAAAGGGCATACACCATTTTAATTCTCAATTTAATACCTACATTAATTCCTAACAGTTGATATTGAACTGATTACAATTTTATCAAGTCTTAAGGCATACCATTTACATTTTTTATAAAAATGTTCTCAAAAAAAAAAGAAACAAGTATTTAAATAACTTTTCTTATCCTTCTATCCTTTCTGACCATATTGAAGATTAAAGAAATTTTTTTAAGTCACATGCTCAATTGTTGTTGGTACATTTAATTCTCTAAGATTGGAATTTTTGTTTAAGAAGAAAAGAAGACAAAGCCTCCCCTTCAGGACTAAATAATTAATGAAATCTCCAAGTGTGTCCATATGACCAAAAGCAGCTCATCAGGAGGCAGCTAACCTGCTGCCACTCAGGAGTTAGGTCGCGCTGAAGAGCCATCAAAACAGAGCGCTCATAACTCAGAGATACTCGTGAGGCACTTGGCCAGCAGGAAGGCGGCGGCAGGACGTAGGAGATGGCGAGGAGCAGATGGCCATACTCGCACCTTTTCGTCCTGGTGGTGGATGTCCTTGCTCTCTCTCTCTCGCTCTCTCTTGAATATGTGCAAATTAGCATATCAAATGCCATAAATGGCGCTTAGGAAGATAGCCGTGTGTGTGTGTGAGCTGCTCTCCATTGTTACCCATACGCCACGTTGCACGAGCGAATGAGCGCACGAGGGGCGGTGCAAAAAGGACGAGGGGTGGGCAGCTGCAGCTGTGTGTGTGTGAGTGTGTGTGTGCGTGTGATTTAGTTGCATGCGATATAATGTCAACCACAGAGCGAGCCGTTCGCCTTTATTCCGCTGCTTGGGTTGGCTCGCCTTGCGTGTCCTGTATTGGTGTCCTTTTTTCGGTGGTGGTGCAGCGCTGCCACTTCAAACGCTACTGACTCTGCTGGACGCCGACTTGCGACTTGGCTACGTGGCGACTTTCCTCTTCAGTGTCAATTCGTCGACACGAGGCGCTGCTTTTTCCGCTGAGAACTAATCGTTGAAATCTTGAGAAGGTTTTCCCCCGTAATTTCCCGGTTCTTCCCGTGTGCGTAAACCACTTCGGCAGTGCCACGTGCTCGTCCTCTCTGTTTTCCCGTGCCTCGTACTGTTTTGTTTTCCTGCCTCTCCCAATCGCGAGTTTTGTTGTGCGGAAGTACAAAAATTCGATACAACCCATCCAAAAGTGGGCCATTCGGGCGGTGTCCTGCCTTGGTCCTGTGCGGCAGTGCATCTGTGTGAGTGAGCACTGCACTCCGGCAAACGAGAGAGAGAGAGTGTGAGTAGAAGGACCTCTGCAGGCCACTCTCTTATTGTTGTGCTGTGTTTTGGCCTACGTGTCCTGACCTTGTTTACATTTATTGTGGTGCCACAACGGACAAAAGTGGCTTAATATTGTGCGCATGTGTACAAGAAAACAGATCGTTAAGTCGGATAAGTCAGAAGACATAATGAAATCTGTCAGTTTATAATAAATCAAATAAATTATTTTTAATGAACGCTGTGTGTCCCAACACCATTTTATTAATCAAAATAATATGGAACTAGTTTCTTTGAATAGAGATCAGTAATTTAAATTTTTCTTTTCGAGTAATTTAATAAAGGAAAATTAAATCAATTACTATTGCATAACTATGAGTTATGAGACATGTAAATATTAAGCTTAAATCGTGTTCATGAACTGCTGTTCAAAAGTACCTCTCTTTAACAGAAACAGCAAACTATTTAAAATTTAAAACAAAGGACTGCACTGTAATTTTTAGTGTTGTAATTTCAATTAATCGTTTACAAGTATTTTCGTTTATTTTTTTTTTTTAATGCCAATTAAGGTAAACGATCTTAAGAGTATAAGTTCTGAAAAGACCAAGGAATATATACAAACTCAATTGTTCGAAAGGCTTTATTTGTTAGATTCAATATTTATATTACTTGTCCCTATATATTTGTTTATCTCTTAATGAAACGAAAGCCATTCAAGGAAGTGTGACTCATATGATCTATAAATATGAGAATTTTTAACTAAAAATTCCCACCCGATGGAATTTTAATTAGTTAAGACTTAAGCCTGCTCGCCCAAAATTCAACTGGTAGTTCAATGGAATTCGAAAGGAACTTCTAGTGCTAAGCCCCATTCTAATGCATTTATAATCAGCCGGGGATTACACATTTAAATGCCAGATTTAAATCACAACCCCTTCCCCAAAAGTCCGCCCAGATAATTTATGTAAAAACTTTATAATCCAGGGGAGATTTTTTGTTGCAATGGTGCTTCATTAATTTATGAATATCAAATTGCATTCTGACATTTGCCAACAAAAACTATTTAAAACTTGTCCCGGGGTGAGCGTGGCGCACAATACCCTTGGTCCCGGTCCGAAGGACCTTTTCCAGGACATCCTGTCCTTTCTTCGCTCCCCTGCCATTGGCGATTCGGTTTGATTGAAGCACCCGCATGTACAGAACATTTTAAATATTTACAAAGATATTTGAAAAAACGCTTTTGGCATGTTTTGTTTTTGTTCCCCAGCTCCCTTATAATTGTTGTTGTTGTTATCCTGCATGTTGTTGGGGTGTGTCCAGAGGTCCTCGGAGTTTCCCCCACAGTTGGTCGAGTGTTTTGCTCACTTTTCGGTCGTTGGAAAAAAAAGGGAAAACCGAACTTCAAATGTGGCATGAGGGCGGCTCTCGAGCTGTGTGTGTATGTGCTTGTGTGTGTGGGGGGCGGTGCTCTTAAGGGCGCGTGTGTCCTTTTAGGAAAGTGTCAAAAACCGTTGGTCAAAAAACCGTATGGCAATTATTCAACACAATTGAATATGAAGTGTGGCGATGGCAAGGATGGCGAGGATGTGGGGCAAAAAAAGTTGCAGCGCTGGGCAAATAATGAAAAATACACCCACATCAGTATTTTTCGGCTGTCTGCACTCGAGCACACACCACACACACACACACACACACACACACTCACACACCCACACACTTGCACCCTTTTCATGTCCTGCCGCTGCTGCTCTTGTTGTTGTTGCGCAGTTGCTGCCGCCTGGCAATTTTTCGGTGATAAAATATTTAAATTTAATTAAGGCCAGCGACGAGCCAGCGAGCCAAAGGGAAGATGAAGTGGAGCCGGTCCTGGCCGGACCTTTGACCCTGCATTCCCGTTCCCAGGATACAGGGGGTGGATACGAGGGGGGAGGGCATAGAGGGCCAGGTCCTTTTTGCGCCTTTTGCATTTGCGTGCGGTGCGTTTTGGAGGCTTACGGCTGCTGCCCGGCAAGAAATTCATTAAAAATTTTTGCTTTGATGCTACCAAATTCTTTTTGTAAGTTTCTTTGTACTTTCAGCTTTGGCCCCTTTGGCCTGCCCCCCAAAAACGAATGTATCTCATGGACAACAGGGCCACAAAACAAATACTTTGAAAGGACCCTGGCGGTCCCTGGTGTGTCCTTGCCAGTGATTATGTTCCGGATTAAACACCTTACGGTTTTAGTAATTAAGCTCCAGAGCCACAAAACTTGCATATGCACACGCGTATCTAGTAGTTATTGTGTACACAAATTGAACTCGATTGCAGCAGAAAATTGTTGGCCAAAAGAGCAAACTTTCCGTTTGTTGGCATCTTAATCGCCGGCAAGAGTCAGAAAGTTGCTGTCTTGCCTGTCTAAACCCAGAAACTAAACTATTCCTGCTCTGCCACCAAAACTTTTGATCTTGAGTTGTGCAAATATTTTTCATTATGCGGGCCAAGTATTTATGGAATTATGGAAATTTCTTTTTAAGATATTTGTTTCCGTTCGTTGATACAACAAAGGAGGTGATTTCTGTAAGATTGAAGAGAGGTTCGACTTGGTTTGCAGTTTGGTATTTGTTTAAAAAACACTTGGAGTAAATTTTAAATTAAATATTTTAAAAAAGTATCAAATTACTGTAATTTACTTCTCGCCAAATTTCTAATTGTAAAGTCCTTTACGGGAATTTTAAGCTGGCTCATTAGGTCTTCTGCCTATTTTCAAACAGCCTGTTTCCAAACTGTATTGATTGATTGCTGGAATCTTCATTTATCCCGTACTCATTCCTAAACTGCAATTTTGGGAGTCTTTCTATCAAGTACCCGATTGACTGCTGATCCTGATTGATTCTGCATGTTTGTTGTAAAATGAGGCTTTCTGGCCAGTCGAGAGTCTGACAATTAACCATGGCCAACTGGCTGAGGCCATCTTTGGGCCCAGAATTTCGGCCAGAGGCAGTTGCTCTATGTGCACCTGTTTTGTCACATCTAATATTCTATTGTTTGGCCTGTTCCAAGGATTCGTTTCTGGCCAAAATGCGTTTCTGTACATTCGGAGAACAGGGTAGGAGGCGAAGTCAACAATGGACTGTGGACAGAGGCATGCAAATTGGCCAGGAAAGGGAAAGGAAAGGGAAAGGGGAAAGGGGCGAAGCCAGAAGGAAAAGGGAAAAAGGGAATAGGCCCAGCCAATTTTTCTTGCATTTGCCTCCGAGTTTTTAGGTTTTCCTGGTGTTATTGTTGCTCCAGCCCGTGCTGTTTGTCCAAGTTGCCATTTCAAGCGTGTTGCAATGAAAAGCAAACTTTTCCACAGCACACGCAGCCGTGTTTTCTGCAGTGTTGGGAAGTAGCTAGATACTTGGGACTAGGTACGTACCTGCAAACAATTTTTGAGTATATTTTTCTTCACCTAATCGCAAAATTAAATGACGACCTCATAAATTACCTGGCTATTCCTTTTTGTTTACACAAGTAATTTTGAGCATGAATATGTATAAATGTTTAAGCATTTGTATTTATGTTAAATTAATATGGAATTATATGAGTGGTTGTTCCATATTTTGATATTTGTGTATTAAAATAGGAAGTTGTACCATTAACCTTTAAATATACACTGGAAAAATGTTCTAAGCTACAAAAATATTTATTTTTTTAAATACCTGTTACCTTTTTAGGTACAAAACATTAGTATCTCACCCAACACTTGTTGTCTGGGGTCGAACTTGGTGTTAGGCATTCGGTCTTCGGTTCTCGGTCTCTGGGCTGCAGGACTCAACAGGCGCACACGGGGCGTATACGAAATTAAAATGCACTCAGCTGAAAAATTGGTTTTCTCGTTCTTGACAAACTTTGAGTGATTTCTGAAAGCCCACGACGAGTGCCAACCCATCGAGGGTGAATCGTGGTCGATGGCAACCTGAAAACTGGTAGCTAAAATCTCCCACCCACAACAAGATACTTTCGGGGAGCCAGAGACCCCATCTTGTTTTCGCAAAAAAATGTTTTAATAAGGCGTACATTTTAATCAAGCGTGCCAAAAATAACTCATAAATTATGGGAAGCCAAATGAAAACAGATTCCGAGGCCAAAGGAATGATAACAAGATGGTCAAATATTGCTGGGCTCATTAAAAATAAATGATTTGATATTTTAAGCCCTCTTCTGAACTTCAATAGCGGAAAACACTAAATGGCTCATTGAAAATGTAAATAATTGTAAATGCTTCTTTAATATGATTTATTTATTCTTGGTTTTTTGCTGTTTTGAGGTCTGCTCTTTTGAGATAATCTTTAATATAAAACAGGTTTTAACTCCATAATATGCTTATGACCATTATGTTAAGAAAAAAAAATACATTTTGTAGAGGTGTATCTCCTAATATTTAATCATTGCAAGATTAAAATAATATTTTTTAAAACTTTTTAAAGAATTAATTCTAATATCCTATTGTCTTTTCAGCTGAACTGAGCTGATTGAGCTGGTGCGACCAAGATAGCTAACCTGTCGACCGGACATTCAGCCAGTCCCGCCGCGGGACTGGGATTCGTGGGCATCCTGCAGTGGCAGCCGCCGGGAAAGGCGCCCAGGCTGCAGAGCTACTCCTCCGGCGCCCGAACCTCCAGCCAGCCATATGCGATGCACGCCTCCGGGAGCAGTTGCAGTTGCAACAGCGACCGTGGTTGCTGCCAGGATTGCCATTGCTCCAAGCAGGGATATGAGCATTTGCCTGTTCCACGATTGCGCCACCAACAACCGCCTCCCCCGCTCTACCAAAATCTGCAGCAGCAGCAGCAGCATCAACAAGTCAGCTGCATTACCACCCTGCAGCAAACAACTACAACGCAGCAGGTGCAGCAGTTACCAACTGCAACATCCTCTATTTCGAACTATTCGTATGGCAACTGCCTGATGCCAACAACTGCAACATCCAGCACGTATGTGAGCAATATTGCGCCGGAACAGCCGATGATAACAATGCATCATTGCCATTCCCATTGCAATGGACACGGCAGCAACATGCAACATTGCGGTAACATCAGCACAGCGCCAGCGGCACCTGCAATATACAATAATTCCCCTGCTCAACCGATGATTTTCGTGCCTCTTATGCTGCCCATGCAACAGCAACATCAACATCAGCAGCAGCAACATCAGCAGCAGAAACATTTGCAGTTGCAACCTCCGCTGCCGCCGGCGGAGGATTGCAAGCCTCTGTTGCAGGCCAAGAACGTTCCACCTCCGCCGCAACCACCGCCTCTGCTGAGCCACTTTCAGTCCCTGTTGCAGCCACCGCCGCTGCCACCTCCACCGCTGATGCCTCAACCTGAAGTTGCGTGCCCCCTGCCCAGCAGAGCACCTGCCACGCCCCCACTGCCGGTGACCCACAACGTTCAGAGCCTTAAGTCCGCGGCTGCATCGGCCGTCAACGTTTATCAGCGGGTGAGTGGACTGAAATAATAGAAGACTTTCTACCAAAAAAATTTTGAAGCAATGCAAAAATATGCTAGGATATAATTCAAAAACGTCCCTACTAATTTTCAACCCAAAAGTCTTGATTTTTGTCAGTATTTTGACCATAACATTGCAAATATTGTACCAAATATAGAATGTCATACCTCATTAAACTCGTAATGAAATTCCAAAAGAAGTGGCATTCAAAGTTACAAATTTTTATATTTTGCCCAATTTTGGAAAAATTAATGATGTTACCCCTTATAAAGAATGTGAAAATTGACAAAAATTTAATTTTTAGTTATCAGCCGGAAATTAATGAGTATCGTTAGCTTAGGTCGTAAGGTGTACAAAACAATCGTTCTTTCAGTTTTAGGTCTTTATTTGGCCATGATACTACAAGAAACCCTTCAAATATTGGACGAAATTTGGGATCCTGATTTTGGATTTAGTTACGGAAAAAATATAGAATGTCATACCACGTTGAGTTCGTAATGCTATCCCCAATAAATTGACAGCTTTTAATCTTAGGTAATTCGATTAATTCATCAGATAGACAACAAAATAGAAGCAGAGATGGGTCCAAATACCTGAGAGATGTTCCATATCGATCCAAGGTGGCTGGCTGTAAACGGAGAATATTTGTTGTACATCAGCAGCACTTAGTCAATGGCTGCAAATCCTCCTGGGCTACTAAAATGTTGCAATTTGCGAAGCACAACAGAGGCAGGGACAATGCCACGTATACTTAATATTTATGGGTGTGCTGCTGCCAAACTTCAATTTACATAAACATAAAAGACAAGCAACATCGAAGGAGCTGCTTCTTCCCGTTGAGTCTGCATGCATGTTGTTGAGATTTAGCGCAGCGACAGGACACAAAAAATCAAAGCTGTAGCTGTGTGGGGATAGGGATGGGGAAGGGGGAGGGGGTTTCGGGGAGAAATGCAAATCGGAACGAGCGGAAGTGAAAGCGAAGATATGGAGGGGCCATGGTGGGTTAAGACGGGCTTACGGCGAGCACGAAAAACTAATGCATAACCTAGTAAGATCATCAACACGAAATTTTACAGCAAACTCATGTCCAAGGATGTGGAAATAAACTAGTTGTTTTTGTTGCCATGGCCGTTACCTCTGCCACTTTTCCCGCACCTTTCCCCTTTTTAACCCCTCTACCCCACTGCTGTCCTGCGCTCAATGACTTTTGCATTTAATATGAGTAAGGAAGCGCAGGACAACAAGAGGAGCAGTCGGCACATTGACACACAGAAACAAATTTCTATCAGCTTGTATTAAGATATTATATTAAAGGAAAATGTACAAAAAAAATGTATATGCTTTTCCTGAATAAACTTGTGTATTTAGGGGCTCAAATGAATGTATTACAGAAAAGGACTAAAACACTTTCTTTCCTTATAGAGTATTTTATCTAAGCTATTTAAAAATTAAACCCAATCAGTTTAAAAAATGTATCTTTGCATGTTCCATTTCGTTGAGTGATATAAACTTCTTAAATCCTATTTTTCTCAGTGCAGCGGTTGCCAAATACCTGAGCTGGACTTGAGGATTGGGCTTCGGCCCTTTACTGGGGGCTGAGTCCTGACCAGCGACATGCAAAACGTGCTGTTTAAATTACGTTCCTGCCGGCAGATTTCGGATTTCAGGTGGGGCCGCCTGCAAGGACATGAAGATAGTGTCTGCTGTCGGTTCGCCTCCTCAGCTCTTTTTTATACTTCTTGGCCGTGTCCGACGATTCGTTTATTTGATAGCCTTGCTGTTGATGCTCCTGCATAGCGGATAAGTTTGTCCTGATTAAGAATCTGCAACAGAAAAAGCTGTCGAGCGAAAAGAAGGGAAAAGCCGAGTGGTCACTCGGCAATGTCTTAATGCGGTGGGAGGAGAAGTCGGTCCGGATTACAATGGGAAAATTCATAAGTTTGCTGCCAGCAGTTTGCTTTTCATATTTCTGATGACAACGCTGTGGCATCTCATTTTCCTCCCTGTTTCTTCAAGTGAAATATATTTTACATGCGAAATAAACATAAGCAAAGTGCACATCATAGTCCTGCATCCTTAATGCTGTTCATTCACATGTGCTTAAGTAGTTTTATTTAGGAGAAGAGCACACTCTGGACTCTATCTGCACATTTGAATGTTAAATCTTTCATGAAATGCTTTTTTTTTTCGACAGTCCGTGTGTCCGTCCGCTTGTCCATATCCAATATTTCCAGAAAATACTCATGTGAGAGTGCTTTTGTGTGTGTGTCTGTGTTGTTTGTTGCGGTCTTCCTGCAACTTAACAATACCTTTCCCTCACTTTTCCCAGCTTTTCCCTCCCCCACCTCCTTCCGCCGGCATTCGCTTTCATTTGTTTTTGCATTTCCTTCCCCTGTTTCTGAAAAACTGAGCGCGCTATCATGCACAAAGAAAGCATTTTATGTGCTGCCTTTAATGTTTGCACTAGCCCACTGTTATAATGTACTCCCACCCACACATGTGTGTGTGAATGCATGAAAGACTATGAGTGTGCACTCAAAAAAATATCAGAAAAATTATTAATCAGTTGAGAATTTAGCAAAGGTGAGTCAAAGTATAAGAACTAAACAGTCTAAAATATATATAAATATGTAATCCTTAAAAAAATAATTTCATTTCAATGTAAGTCATTTGTGGTCATCCTTAAAAACATTTTGTTCTTGTGTAATTCTCCCACAATGATTTTGGTGCTTGGTGCTAGCATTAGAAAGTTTTCTCGGATCTGTAGCTGCATTCGAAATCACTTGAGGCCCTGGGAATCGTCTGGTTGTCTTTTCCCACCCACTTGACCCCGCCCCGGGTATTATGCTGGAAAAACAGTTGGTTTCCATCTAATAATTGTTCTGCTCATATTCCATATGCACTTGCCGAGTATTTCAAAGCGGATTTCGTTGTTGGAGTTAACTTGTTTTTATGGTTATTTTTTGCTAAGCTGTGAGCTATTTCATATTGTTTATTTGGGCTGTCGAAATCTTTTGCTTAATACCGCTCCCTGGAAACGAGGATGTGGGAAAGTGTTACTAAGTACTTGGATCATAAATGGAAATGTTGCCCACAAAACAATTAATGCTAAATGAATGGTAATGAATCGCAGAGTTTTTATATTGCTCAGCTTGTGTACAATTTACTAAGAGGCTTTGGCCTAAGCCCACAATTATGATCCGGATATTAGGAAGCAGCAATGTGCCCTGTTTTACAACTCTATGAAGTAATAAGGCAAAAGGCTTTCAAACTTCATGTTTTTTAAAGAGGTATTTATTTTTAAACGATTAAACAAAATGGTGTTTGTAAAAAGGATCCAAAAATTAAAATTTAAAAAGGATCACAGTAACAGTCATTTGGTTGTTCTGTTAAAATCGGAAAGAAAATGCTACAAATAAAAAGGATGAAGAGGGAGATCTACTATGAACCCCCAAAAATTGAATCCTTTGGCACTCAACAGGGACAGTGGTGACTTAATGGCCCCGAAGGGTCGCGAGTGATGCATAAGTGAATCCATATTTCATATGCCGCGTTAACGGGTCGCAAAAAAAGGCAGACACACAAAGCGAACAACATATTTCGAGGGCTGCCAGAATTCGTTGACTTCATTGGAAGAAATCCAAGCAAAAAGTTGGAGATACCAACCAAGGCTGTCATTATTTCGCTCTTAGCTGTGGAAAACTGAAACAAAACGAAATAAAAAGACGGGGAGAGGGAAGAGGAGAGCAGCCGGAGTGTCCTTGCTGCTGCTTAAGTAGAGGAAATTTGATAGCTGCGCCAAAGGATGCGATATCAAAGGACTGCCTTGTGGCCAACGAGTGACAGGCGGCGAAGGAAAGTCGAAGGAAACGGTTGACAGCCAAACAGCCAAACTGGCAAATTGGACAAGCACAAGACAGGACAAAAAAGGAGGACCCCGGAGGAAGCTACGCGAAAAAAAACGCACCCACAAGCGCAAATCTAAATAAGAACTTGGCCTTAGGGCCAATAGTTTCACTCGCCAAAGCCAAAGCTTTAACAGTCGCACCATCGACCATTTCAGCAGAATGTGGTGACTTTCTCGCCATTTCACAGAGCCTGTAAATGCTTCATTGCCCTCCAGAGGATATGGCATACGCCCCCCCCGCAGTCCCGCCATATCGCAGCATTATGCCGATCTCACCATGAGCATCTTTAGTCCTCTGTTAATTCAATCTGCCGACTGGCCGCGAGGTGGCGCCCCAAAAGTGCCAGCCACTGCTGCTGAGTGCCTCGAATCTCACCGCATCTGATTGTGTGAGTGCCCGTCCTTCGTCCTTCGTCTTTAGTCCTTCGTCCTGTGCGCGGCTGTGTGTGCGAGTGTGTCGCGCACTGGCATGCTAGAAGGCGATTAACCCATTAAGTGCTGGCAAAAGATACGGCTGTATTTCCAAAACTTTGCACACAGTAAATCCCGTATTGAAACGGGTTGTATTCCGAATTCATAAAAAATATATACGTTATTTTGTAACAAGCTCACTCTTTGATAAGTCCTAGACTTGTAGCGTGATGATTTTATTATAAAAACAAAAATTTCACATAATATTATTTATTCAAAAAAGATTTTCAAAATAAAAGAAAATTTTTCAGTAAACACACGTAGGAAATAAAATATCCCATTTAATCTTTTCGATTCTTCTCTTTATAAATTTTATTCATTTATTCTTATTCGCATAATATTTACAATTTTGTTAACTAGTAAAACCAAACAAAAACGGGCTATAAATAAAATAGTAATACGAACCATTTACCATTGTTTTACATTTTTCCAATTCAATTTAGCGTGTTAAAAAACCAAAGCCATACTAAAATATTTTTCTGAATAGCGTCGCCATCGAAAAAAAATGGCAAAAAAATGGGTTAATCATTGCGGAGCAGATAAAAAGGACGAGGGCGTCAGGAGCAGCCTCGCTTTTCTTGTTGTTGCTGCTGCTGGCACTTGAAAGCTTTTA